GAATCTTGTTCCTTTTCGTTTTGTCTTAATTCTGATAAATTTTGCTAGGTTTGTTATTGTTTTGCTCACTTTAATTTAAGATTAACTTTAAGTTATAGTAATAATAATAAAGCATTAATTAAGTTTCAAATATTTTTGCATTTTAATTGATAGGAACAGAAACAAATAAAAAGAAATATTAAAGTTTTATATCAATTGTTAATTCGGAAACAATAATTATTTTATAACTAAAACAACATTTTATCACTAATACTGTGTACTGCTCATTTTCGCTGTAATACTTGTAATTTTAGTTGCTCTGTAGTATTTTTTTATTCTGGCTGTCTTAAATCTGTTGTTTACAATAACAATTCGTATTCCTAAATTTGTCTAGAAGTTTATTTGACTTATGGTATGCTAGAGTTTTTCATGGGTTTTCCTCTAGCCTTGAAGCAAATGCTTTACCATTGTACAAAAACGCACCCTTTTGCCATGAAAACGATTAAATATTTAAAAATTTATAGTTGTAAATTTTTGTCTATAAATATACATAGATTTCTTCTTCTGAAGTTTGCATTTTTATTTAATAATTTTTTATTAGTTTTTTTTAATAACAAGTCCAAAAAAATCACTGTTTTCATCTTAAAACTTGTTCAAGTTTTGAGATGACAATTTTTGATTTTTTGGAACTTATTATTAAAAAAAAATTTAAAGAGTAATGAGATTTTTATTTAAACGAGCATTCAAATTCCCGCTCGTATTTATCGATCGACTACACTACCGCCATCTACACAGTTTCAATTCTCTAGAGAGAGATAGAATATGAGGTCCAAATGAGAGCGGTATAAGTTAAGCATCTGGTCATCTGTGGGCAGTATGAAGAAGAGAGGGTACGAGTAAAGACGTAAAGAGTAGTTGAACTATTTTCTTATAAAATAAATGATTAATACAGTTGTAAATGAAAGAGTGTAAAATATGTTTAAAAACTAAATCTTTAATAGTTTGTCACATCAATAAATACTTTAGTTTGTTACTGTTAAAACAACACCTTTTTTAATTTGACAATCTAATCCTACATTTATTTCTTACACTACTGTAATTATTTGTTTTTGATTTGTTTAATTAGCAAGTCAATTTTTGGTTCTCTGTTATAAAAAAAGGATAGACATGTTTTTTAAATATTTAGATTTACATAAACTCACTTAACTTTTTATTCTGAGTATGCAACTTATGCTACAAATTGGATTTCTAATATTATTCAATTCATTCATAAATGATGTTTTTCTCGTTAGAGGCAGCACTAGCTAGACCAACCCAACTCGACCGGTTGCATAACTATGTATATCTATAAACAAGGCTATGTATATCTATAATTCTATAAACAAGGGAAATACTTTAGTTTGAATCTAAATAACACCTCAAATTACCATTAAATCTTCTTTAAGATTTCTAGGGATCTGAAATTTTAGTTGCAAAATAAGTGAGGTTATGTTTATAAGGAATCTAACGTTTATAACAAATTTATTTTAGAATAAAGAATTAATAATAAAATAGTTTTAATCGGTAACAAATTACATTTAAAAGCTAATACTTACCGTAACATTTCTATTTATTACTTAATAATGTAAAAAAAATAAACATAACCTTATCAAATCATAGTTTTGATAAGATTTATTATCCCAAATTAGCTAGTCATTTCATTACGTATCTCAATGAAACGAAAATGTGTATCCTCTTCATTTATATTAACCCCAACCCGGAACCAGGACAATTCCGATTAATAATAGCTTCAAATCGGGATGAATTTTATAATAGACCATCACAAATCATTTCAAAAAGCAACGATGTTATTGGAGGTACTACTAATAACTTAATTTTATAATTCACCGATTAAATCAAATTGATTTTAGGTCGAGATCTCTTCGAAGGAAGAAAAGGAGGAATGTGGCTTGGAATTTCATTAAAACCAACCGAACAAGCAAAGTTACGTTTTGGTGCTTTATTAAATGTAACCGGAGAAGATCGTAAGCATGGATTGAAAGGTCGAGGTTTTATAGTGGCTGATTACCTGGAAGGTGTGCAAAAAGTCGATGATTATATGCGCGAACTTTTGGCATCCGAAGAACCGTACAACGCGTTTAATTTTGTTAGTGTCGAGCTTCAAGATGGCGAAAGCGTTTTAAGTCATTGTAGTAATGTTCCAAAAACGTTTTCCAAATTTACCGGGAAAAATATTATGGGATTTGGAAATACCGTTCCTCCTAATTCCCCCACTAAAGTTATTAAGGGAAAGGAGAAGTTTGAAGAGATTGTTAATACTTTTAATTTGACTAATAAAAAGGGGGAATTGTTGAAGGAATTGTTGGAATTTTTGAAATGGGATTATCCGTAAGTTTTTTATTTAATTAACATTAAAAACTTAAAATTTTTGACAAGTGTGAAATAATAATTTTGACACTTCTCAAGATTTTGCAAAAAATTATACAGTGACTTGTAATAAGTCTTATGACAATACATAGGGCGCAAAGAAATTGTATACAGTGTGTCCCCGGATAGGTGAAACGACTCATAAAAAGTAAATTTTTTTCGATATTAATTGTCATCTTTTGGGGTTTAGCCCTGCTTGATTAACGACTAATTTTGAACATATGATCAATTTTTAAAAAACAAGTGAGCCTTGACAGTGAAAGTAAAACTCTTTTTGTGGCAGGTAAAGTACCTTTTCTGTTTACAGTACGTGAAATTGTTACTAAGAAGTTTTGTTCAGAATGAAAAACTATGGGCATATACAAATTTTCGGATTGATCGGCCTACTTTGAAAAAATCCATATCAAACAATTTTATTTCTAACGAAGACTGCTATGGAAAAACAAAATTGCTTTTCTGTCACTGTTAATCTCTCAAACTGTAATTTAGTAAACTTAAAGTGTTTTTTAAACAGAATGTTAACATTAGAGGAAACAGTTTACGTGATTCAGTGTTATGGAACCGGGAAAAAACCGATTATTGCTTTATTTTGTGAAAAATTTCCAAATACTGGAATTAAAAGAAGTACTTGTTGGCGTTTAATCAAAAGATTTATTACAGCAGGAAGTATTCACTCTAAGAAAATAAAATTATGATGAAACTAATTAACTATGATTAACTGTTTTCCTTTGTGGGCGAACACACACTTAATTTCTTGTGAACATTTTCAGAACGATTTGTTTATTTCTCCCGAATAATCTGAATCCCAAAACAAAAAGTCGTAATAAAGTACTATTAACGAAAATAATAAATAATGGGTTTTGTCAAAGTAGGCTGATGAAAATTTGCATATGGCCATAACTTTTCATTCTGAATAATATTTCTTAGTAACATTTTACCATACTGTAAACAGAAAAGGTACTTTACCTGACACACAAGAAGTTTTCGCTTCAGTATCAACAGTCATTTGTTTTTTAAAATTTGAAAATATGTTCAAAATTAGTCTTTAATTAAGCAGGCCTGAACCCCAAAAGATGACAGATAATATCGAAAAAAATTTACATTTTATAACAGTCGTTTCACCTATCCGGGGACACACTGTATATAGAAGCAGTTGTAAACATTAAAACTTGAAGCCAACGCAACACGCGGTTTGTTTACTAACAACCTTTGTCGAAACCAGTTGAAACAATGAACGTGCACAGATTGGACCATCGGCCAATTATCGCCGAACACTCCCGAATATTATTTTAGCCCCTAGAACAGGAGTGGCCAACCCGCGGCCCGCATGCGGCCCGCCTCGGATAATTTTGCGGCCCGCGAGATTTATTAATTTACCAATAAAAACAACCTAAATTTACCAGCTAATAACAAATTATATGTAAAAGAAAAAAAAGAGCTTGATAATTTTATTTTTAAAAGTTAGATCTGGTTATTTATGGAGCTTTAGAAGAAATACTGTCAACATGTGGAAGTAGTTAAATACTTGGCGCCTGGAAGTCCAGCCCCAATATCCTCATTGTAAATCGGTTATAATAAGAGAACCTATCCTTAAAAATTCGACTTCTTTTATTGTTTATTTATTGTCTTTCAAAAACCCTTTTGAGTAACCCCCCTATTTGCAATGCCTGGCTAGGTCCTTGTTTGCCGGTGGGTGTGTAAAAAACGGCGTTATAATCTGTCCGCTCACTTTGACTATTGAAGTGCGTCAGTGCTAGTTGATAATTTGTTTTCCAGTTTCGTTTTGTGTGAAAGCAGGTAATACAAATTCCATTAAATTAAAAATTAATTAAATTATTTTATTTTCTTTATTTCCTTCTAATTATCAGTATGAGTGCAAAGAAAAGAAAAATAGTGGACGAAAATAGAAGGTATAGCGATGAATGGGAAGAAAAGTATTTCTTTATAACTCAAAACACAAAATTAACGTGTTTAATTTGTCGAGAAACCGTCGCTGTGTTTAAAGAATATAACGTTAAAAGACACTACGAAACAAAACACAATGATTATTTGAAATTCGATAAAGAAGTGAAACAATCGAAGCTCCAGGAATTAAAGTCACAATTAAGAACTCAACAAAAAATGTTTGGTTCAGCTTTACAGCAACCTTTCAATATTGTTAAGGCAAGCTATTCTGTTTCATTCTTGATAGCAAAAAAAATGAAAACATTTTCGGATGGTGAATTTGTGAAAGAATGTTTGGAAGCTGTAGCAAAGGATATTGTTCCTGATAAAAGTAAACTATTTTCGAATATAAGTCTGTCCCGGCAAACAGTGTGTCGTCGAATTAATGACATTTCAAATGAAATTATTGTAAAACTGCGCGATCGAATTCGAGATTTCAAATATTTTTCCTTAGCATTCGACGAAAGTACAGACATTTCAGGTACAGCTCAACTTGTAGTATTCGTTCGTGGAATAAATGAATCATTTGAAATAACTGAAGAAATGTTAAGCTTTATAAGTTTGAAAGATACTACAAAAGGTGGAGATATTTTCCATGCTGTTGAAAACTGTTTTCGCGAAAACGACTTGGGTTTGGAAATTCTTACTGGAATATCAACAAATGGGGCGCCTGCTATGATCGGCAAAGATAAGGGAGCTATAAAATTACTGATCGGTAAAATAGAATCCAAGAACAAAACTCATAATTGCTGTAAAAGAGATGATTTATTTATAATCCACTGTTTGATTCACCAACAAAATCTATGTGCCCAAGTATTATCGATGAATCATGTTATGCAAGTAGTCATAAAAACAGTTAATTACATTCGATCACATGCACTTCCTCACCGACAATTTAAGGAGTTCCTGAAAGAATTGGATTCTGAATATGGTGACGTAGTATACTTCAGTCATGTCAGATGGTTAAGTCGTGGAAGATGTTTACAGCGATTTTATGAGTTACGTCAAGAAATTGATTTGTTTATGAATGATAAGCAAATACCAGTACCAGAATTAAGAAATGATGAATGGTTATTGGATTTATGCTTTTTAGTGGATATTGTCGAAAAACTCAATCAATTAAATATATCATTACAGGGGAAAGATAATTTAATAATCGATATGTTTAATCACATCAAAGCATTTCAGAAGAAATTATTGTTATTTGAATCTCAATTGAAAAATAATAACGTTCAACACTTTCCATTGTTAAAAGATTTGAAAAATTCAAAATGTAACAATTACATTAAATATGCAAAAGAAATAAGAAAACTTGCAGCTGCTTTTGAGAGTCGTTTCACTAATTTGGACAAATACAACAAAATATTTGAAATATATTCATCTCCCTTTCATGTTGAGGTCGAGTCGGCCCCAGAATATCTCCAAATGGAACTGATTGACTTACAATGCAATAGTCAGTTAAAACAAATTTTTGAAACGGTAGAATCTAAAATAGATTTTTATAACATTTATATCACAAAAGAAAAATTTTCAAATTTGAGAAATTTGGCACAAAAAGTTGTGAGTGCTTTTGGATCAACTTATACCTGTGAATCGTTTTTTTCAAAATTAAAATTCACCAAACATAAATCACGATCGAACTTGACAGACGAAAACCTACAACACCAATTACGATGTGCAAATACCCGCATAGATATAGATTTGCTAAAGTTAAGTGAAAGAGTTGAAAAACAAATATCTCACTAATTAAATAAAATATAATTATTGTTAATCATTTTATTATTATATTATCTATGTTTATCCATCATATCTTTGAGTAATAATAAAAACAATAACAATAAATCATTCTGTTTTAAATATTTACTCAAAAAATTTTTTATGCTGCCCGCGAGATTATAAAATATTTTCAAAGTGGCCCGCAAGATCGTTTTGGTTGGCCACCCCTGCCCTAGAATAAGACATACACTAAAATAACGAATCCTATTTGCGAATCAATAAATCTTCAAAGTCGTTCTTCTTTCGATTCATTTCTCTTCTTTTTATTTATATATATTTATACATTTAGTATACCACTACTTTTAGTTAGAAATAGAACTTATCAATCAAAATAGTACATACTTGTATCGTTTACCAAGTATGTATATTGTTTCTAGGTCCTCTGACTAATTTAAAAGATTACAACTTGACAAAGATATAGAAAAAAATTCATTCTACAATTTATAAAATTATTACGGCAATAGTTTTTCAATTGGTAGTTAGTTTAACAATTAATTTGTGATTGTAATTTTATATATGAAATTAGGATGCTCTTTGGATACGCCACTGGATAAAGTCCGACCAATTTCATCTAATTCGTACACACCACTGTCGCTAGGACTAAGGTCTATTTTGTTTGCAAACAAATGCTCTTGTGTTGGCTTCAAACCGGTATACGGGCGAACATAGGCGATGTGGCTTCTATATATACAATTTCTTTGATAGGGCGTTTTAACCTCATGCCCTGAAATATTGAGCAGCTCTTTCGTCGTTGAAGTCATTTGCGACCGAATTGATCATAATGGTAGCTGTCTTGGTTCCAGTCCAAAACCTGGACCCAGACGAGGTTGGCAATCGTGAACCTTGTGTGTAAGTTACATACTCTATTAATGTCTGGTGTAAGTGACCGCGTGTTGAGTTCGTTGAGTTGTATTAGTAAACTAGTAAAAGTTGTTATTAAAGAATAAAAACGTTTTTGTTACATCTTAAGTTTCTCCTGGCCAATGTTCCACCGCATGCGAGATGTGGAAAAAACTAGAAGAAATCTATGACAGAAAATCAATAATTGGTTTGCATTTGTTAACTGAGCAGTTTTATAATTTAAAATTTGAAGAAGGAAATATAAATGACTTTGTAACAAAAGTTACTAATCTATGTGCGAAAATGAAACAGCAAGGAGAAGAGGTTCCAGAAAAGATGGTAATGACGAAGGTAATAATGGCATTGCCAGAAAAGTTCAAACATTTTATATCGGCATGGGAAAGTGTACCAAGTGATGAACAGAATTTAAATAATTTAGAATTATAATATATATGAATATATTTGAATGAATTGAATATATTTAGAAAAAAGGGCACAGAATAAAAGATTGTTATCAAAGAAGAAAAAGAGAAAGTGAAAACAATGAAAGAAAACAAAAACAAGGTGAGAAACAAGACGGTTTAGCGTTGATTGCATTGTCCGAAGCTGAAGCATTAATAAACACTGATTGGTACTTAGACAGTGGAGCGTCACACTATATGTGTAATAAGGTGGATTTGTTTGATCGATATGTATCATTACAAACTTACAAAACAATAAAAATTGGTGATGGGACAACAATGAAGAGTACTGGAATGGGAACTGTGAGTATGTTAGCCTATAATGGAAAAAGTTTTCAACCAGTTACACTTCAAGATGTGTTATATGTTCCTGATTTGAAGATTAACTTATTCTCACAAGGAAGTGCGTTAGATAAGGGAATTACTCTACGGTCAGACTTTAACAAGGCAGAGTTAATATTGAAGAATGGAAACACATGTGCAATTGCTAAACGAAGCGGTAAGCTGTTTAAAATGATTTTCAAGATAGATAAAAATTGATTGGAGAAAGATAGTTGTTTATTGGCAAAAGAAGAACATAATTTAAACTGGTGGCATCAAAACTTTAGACAAATTGAAAGGGTTTTAGAGCAGAACAATATTGTCGTAAAAGAAACCTCAAAGTTTTGCAGTTCATGTGTGCAAGGAAAGCAACATAGAGAAACTTTTAAAATGAGCTTATCGAGATCAGACAAGATAGGTGAAATTATTCATATGGATTTGTGTGGTCCAATGGAGGAGTTATCGCTTGGTGGTTCAAAATATATGTTTCTATTAAAGGACGATTGTTCTAATTATAAGACTCTTTATTTCTTAAAAAGTATAGATGAGATGTATAAAAAATTGAAAGAGTTCATAATTGAATTAAAGAACCAAATTGGAAGGGACATAAAAATCGTTAGAAGTGATAACAGAAAAGAATTTGTAAACGTTTCAGTAAGAAATCTATTAAAAGAATATGGAATCATACATCAGCTCACTGTACCTTATACCCCTCAACAAAATGGAAGGGCAGAAAGAGAGTTTCGAACAATTATGGAAGCAACAAGAACAATGTTGGCTGAGAAAAAGATGGAGAAAAAATTTTGGGCTGAGGCAGCGAACATGGCTGTGTATTTGATAAATAGAACTGGAACGAGTCCAGTAAAAAATAAAACACCTTATCAAGTGTGGTATAATAGAGATTTTGACCTTCAATCCCTACGAGGAATATTTGGAGAGGAAGTTTGGGTCTATATACCGAAAGAGAAAAGACAAAAATTGGATATGAAAAGCAAGAAGGCTATATTTATGGGATATGCACAGAACACAAACGGTTATAGAGTATATTTAATTGATAAAGAAACTGTGACAATAGAAAGAGAGATAATTTTTGTGCCAGAAAGTGAAGAAAGCAATGTGAACAAGGAGACAAAAGAAATTGTAAGACTAGATTTTGAAGTGGAAAATGCAAGTGAGATAGAGGAGGATGAAGAGGAAACAAAGGAAAATGAAGAAGAAGAACATGAAGAGAAAAATGAAGAAGAAGACGGTGAAGAGGAAGAAGAAGGAGAAAAATATGGTGATGCTTTACAAGAAGAAAATGTAGAAGTTTAGAGACAAGAAAGGCCTAAACGAAAAATAAAGTTATCGAATAAATTAAAAGATTATGTGAGTTATTTTACTGTTGATCAGGACGAACCCATAACATACGAAGAAGCTATGAACAGTGAGAACGCGCATGAGTGAGAAAGGGCAATAAAAAGTGAACTAAAAGCTTTAACAGATAATAAAACATGGGATTTAGTAAATAAACTAAAAAATTGTGAAATAGTGGACAGTAAATGGGTGTTTAAACTTAAACGAGATGCAAACGGTGACATTAATCAATTTAAGTGCAGGTGGGTGGCAAAAGGTTATCAACAACAGGGCTTACAGGAAGATCTCCTACGCTCCAGTAGTAAAATTAAAGACAATAAGAACATTATTGGTTAATATATCAAATGGATGTTTGTAATGCATTTTTGCATGGAGAATTGCAAGAAGATTTGTATATGTATTTACCAAAAAATTGTAAAGTTAATGGCAAAGTATGTAAACTTAAAAAGGCTAAAAAAACAGTATATAAATAATAATATGCTCACTATCCCTTATTTTACTTATTATATTACATATAGCCAGGGCCGCCGAGAGCCGAGACAGGCCACGGGACTGTTCAGCCTGTTGGGCCCTGGTAATGCTAACTTGTCGAAACGAAAATCTAAATATAATAAAGGCACCTACTATCCGTTACAAAAAGCAAGGCCCCTCACTTTATACGCATTCGCGTTCAAAGTGAGGGGCCTTGCTTTTTGAAACGGACCGAACGGATAGTAAGTAGTTTGGTTGAATAGAATGTCAAAATTGCACTTTTTGGCTACTTTCGCCTCTATTGCTAAAAGCCCTAAGTCGGATACCCGATCCTGATTCATCGTTGACCTTAAAACATTTTTTATTCTCGCTAGACAACTAAATGACCGTTCTGCTTGGGCAACAGTCACAGGTGTGGTACAGAATAATCTTAAAGAAACGCACACATTAGGGAACAATGTTTCCAACTTTAGAGAACGTATTTTATTTAATAGTTCTAGTGGCCCAAGTTGTACGTTGGCAAAATTTGTCTTGTATATTGCTTTTAAATGCACCAATTCTTCTTGAAGTTGAGGACCTATATCATTTTCATACTTATTTCGAAGAATAATTGATTTTTCTTGAATCACCATTTCCGAAGAATCAGCAAAGGTCCAATGAATACAAAATAAACTGTTGATCTCTTGTACGGCCTTAAATCGAGTGGTTAAGCCTACAATAATATTGTCCAGAAGTGGATAAAAAACCTTGAATTTTAATTTCAAAAATTTCTTAAACTAAAACTAACACTATCACAAGAACTAACACTAAACCTAGAACTAGAATTTTTCGGGTTAAGCCGTGCGTTTTTTGAAAAAATGTTTGACGTTTCGGATGTCATGTTGCAACCTTCTTCAGAAACAAGTTCGAAGTGACGAATTCGTTTTAAAATTTGACAATAAATACATGAAAAGGTAATTAATAACTAATTAGTGTCTAATTGTCAACTAAGTTGTTTTGTCAAATCCGGGTGGAGAAGGCTTCGTTGAGTTCACCAACATCTTCCATGTGCGGCTGAGTTCCCAGCCATCTTCTCTATTCATGTTATTCCCATGTCGATGAATCTCTATCGCCTCTCTCATCAATCTCCTGTGGTAGCCAATTTTTACATGGAGATGTTTTAAGAGGAGGCGCTAAAGAAGAGTCATTGGAAACCGAAGCTATGGCCCCGTTACGTCGATGACACTTTCGTGATCTGGCAACATGGAAAACAGCAACTCCAGGAATTTCTAGACCACCTCAATTCACAGCACCCCATGATAAAATTTATCATGGAAACAGAAAATGCAAAACAGTTGCCATTCCTGGATGTGTTAGTCACTAGGAAGACAGATGGGGACATGGAACTGGGAGTATATCGAAAGAAGACACATACGAATAGGTACCTGCAGGCTTCATCCCACCACCACCCACAACAGAAGAGGTCCGTGATTCAAGCCTTATTCCAGCGAGCAGAGAGGATATGCGATAAAGAGAACCTAAGAAAAGAAGAAAGCTTCCTGGGAGATGTGCTGCAGAAGAACGGCTACACGATGAGAGATATCCGACGATCCACCAAACCACACAAACAGAAGGATGACTCGGTAAGTACGACACCAGCCGGTTTTATCTGCCTTCCTTATGTTTCAGGTGTGACGGAGCGAATTGCGAGGCGTCTGAAGAAGAATATCGTGGTACGATACGGTACGGTCAGCAAAATACAAAACGCTCTTCCGATAGCCAAAGACAAACTAACCCCATTAAAGGGAGCTGGAGTCTACCGGCTATCTTGCAGTTGCGGGAAATATTACGTTGGCCAAACTGGACGTAATATCGAGTGCCGCATCAAGGAACACGAAAGAGACGTCCGACTAAGGAAGATCCAACAATCTGCAGTCGCAGAGCATTGCCACAAAGGAGGGCACAGCATAGAGTTCGAAAAAACCAAAGTGCTAGCAAGAAACGGACATTACTTCCAAAGATTGACGAGAGAGGCGATAGAGATTCATCGACATGGGAATAACATGAATAGAGAAGATGGCTGGGATCTCAGCTGCACATGGAAGATGTTGGTGAACTCAACGAAGCCTTCTTCACCCGGATTTGACAAAACAACTTAGTTGACAATTAGACACTAATTAGTTATTAATTACCTTTTCATGTATTTATTATCAAATTTTAAAACGAATTTGTCACTTCGAACTTGTTTCTGAAGAAGGTTGCAACATGGCATCCGAAACGTCAAACATTTTTTCAAAAAACGCACGGCTTAACCCGAAAGATTCTAGTTCTAGGTCTAGTGTTAGTTCTCGTGATAGTGCTAGTGTTAGTTCTAGTTTTAGTTTAATTAATATCGGCCGTGAAAGCCTTCGTATTTATATTAAAAATTTCTGCTGGGGTAGACTTTCCAAAAAACTCTTCTATGGCTGATTTTTTTTCATGCCGACTAACACCACTTTTAAACTCCGTTGATATTCCAATATTTTCAGCAACTAATCTGCATTCCAACAAAATCGCATCCCAGTTGTTTCTAAGCAAATTTACATCATCTAATAAACTAGATAGTTTTTTTTTTCTACGTCAATTGTCGTGTTCAGCTCCTGTAAAAGAACACTTCTGATATTGATTGCGGTCAACATCTTTTCTCATATAGATGCTAAAACTAAACATTCGAACGATTCCATGTAAGTATACAATCCGTTAAGATCTGATCGAATTTCTGGAGTTAAATTTAAATGCTGTACGGCCTTTATTGCATCTTTTATCCCAGGAAGTCCTTCAGTAAACGGTTTAACGCTTTCTATCCTAGCAGACCAATGAGTTGTAGACAGGGAATGAAGGGATACCCCAATCTGATTTTTAAGAATTTCCCATCTTTAAGGACTGGCAGAGAAAATATTATAAAGTTTTTGAACAGCACCAAAAATGTTATAACTTCAGGACAACATTCAGCTGCATGTACCCCAAATTTAGAGAATGGCACGCACATGGAGAAAAAATAGCAAGAGGGTTAACATGTTGACATGTTACTGCCGTTGTCGTATATCTTTTGCAAAACTCTAACGATTAGCTGGGCTATAGCATCTCCAGTCTTGTCATTACAGTTTACAAATTCCAAAAATCTTTCCTAAATTTTATAATCATTGGATTCGTTTTCTAATCCGACATATCGCAGAATGAAAGTTGTTTGTTCATCATGAGAATAATCTGGAGTGGCGTCAACAATTATAGAATAATATTTAGCTGCAACTCTTTCCTTCAAAATGTAGTCTCGTACGTGTTCAGCACAGCAAGATATAAATTCATTTTGTATATCCGCCGATAAATAGTGCACTTGTAATCTATAATTTTTTTCTTGCGATCGTTTTACTTTTTCCAAATGAACGGCAAGAAGCGGATCGTAGTGACTGATTCTTGGATTGCCGATTTCATGACTGTCTCCTCTAAAAGCAAGTCCACGTTCTGTCAGGAATAGAGTAACATCTAGAAAACGTCGAAGCAAATCTTTCCAGTTTTGTTTCTCATCCTGAATTTGTTTAGCTAACAAGCTGCCAGCAGTTCGATTTGTAGCCAAATTACTTTCTAATTGGCGCCATTCAACGTAATTTGCCTTATGAATGTTGCTGCTTTCATGGACAGGTATTCTGTCGTAGAGTTTTTTGTACCCTCTAGATGGTTCACAACCCACTGTTGCAATCACTGACACTGACTGCTGAGAAGGTTCACTGGATTCCTTGGTTTTATTGTGGAAGCAGAAAAGAGCTTGTTTTGCCACACTCCAAACTAACCAATCTCTGGTAACTATTTCACTATTCTGTAACTTTTTATTTAATATATATTTAGGAAAAGGGTGACCGTCAGGATCAGGCGGAAAGTTAGCTGGAAGGGACTGAGGTCCTCGACACACTGCATCCTCTATTTCTAGAGGAGAGATATTTCTGTTTTGTTGCAGAAGACCTATGTCGTACCCAAGTACCGATTTGTAAGTAATATGATCGGGATCAATTCGATCATCATTACCAGAATTAGAATTGTTACGGCCGTCATTACCACCACCAGAAATAGAATCCTTAGCACTATCAAAGTTAGAAGCGGAACCGGAACCTAAAAAAAAGTGATTTTTAGTATGAAAAAATACCTATACTTCCGGCTTCACAAATCGTTACTAACTACACTTTCATCTCACCTATAACTGATGTTGATTGAACCAGATCTTCAATAAGTTGTTCTTGTTCATGTTCTTCATTATTAGATATTGCAAGTGTCCTTCGCCCGCTTTCGCAGGCACTTTCACCTATTTGTTTTTCGATCCTTTTTTGAGCGCCCGATTTATGCTGATAAGCCATTTTAAAAATGGTTTAAATATCCCATGCCGACTATTACACAATTTTAAGCTTGAAATTAGCAAACTGCCCCGGCACTTGTAGCACAATAGATTATTGATTGATACCAAACCACAAAACAACATATACTTTGCAAAAATGTATATTTTGGAATTCGCTAATGCTCTTTTTAAATAAGTTGCCATTTAAAAAGTTTCAAGGCTCAGACTGAAATCGTCGTAGTATAATGAAGTGACTTCATTGAAGTCACAAAAACAAAGTAATAAAACAAAAAGGCGATTTCTCAATTGCAGAATGACGTAAGACTTCTTTTCCTGTTTGCAAATTTAAAATCGTATGCGCTAGAGCCGAAGTACAACATAAACTACCAACTTACACTAATATGGTATTAATAATTGTAGGTAACCATATAAACCTTGAATGTACCCGCGCCAGGGTCCCCAGACCTTACGGGCCCCGGGAATTTGTTCCTCTGGAATAAACTATAGAAAGAAGTTAACGTAGAAAATGAAAGTGATTAGGTTGATAATATATTAACACACATTGTAGCAACCTATCAAACAATATCAGAGTGTGACATCAAATTTATGAAGACGATGAAATTATTGATTTAATACTTGCCAATAATCTTTGTTTTTGTAAAATTTGCGAAAAATAAAGTTTATTATTATTATTAAGTACGTTTTTTTGCAAACGTATTACCGTAGTTACCGGGATTTAAAATTTAGAAATTCTCGTTCTCGAGAATATTCTTCTCTTTTATCTCTAGTCTTCAAACGCAGGGCTAAACAGGCTTTTATTTACATGTTTTGTATATACAACATTTCCCAAATATTAAATATTTATTAGAATTGTTATTATTGCCTGTCAACAATCATTTGAAACAACTAGCCAAAATATGGCGATAATGCGAAATTAGAAATTTATTTATTTTAGTCTATACAGGTATTGAACGTTTGTAATTTTTAATTTATATCTTTTTTAGACACTTACCATGTCCGGAATTAGAAAAACGACAACCAATTTTTTACAAATACCTCGCATGCGTTTATGTAAAAGCGATCGAAGTTAATTATGGCACAAGAACCCACAGCATAATTTTGGTGGATAATGAATGGAATACGGAATTTTTTGAGGCAACAATGCAAGATCCCATCAACATTGAAAACCCCACGTGGGTAACAAACACAATAAACGCAAAACTTTGATGTAACAATTAATAATTAAATAGCCTCTTTTAACCCTAAACATTAAATCATATTTTATTCAACAACAAGAAAAACTCCAACTTTGTTCGAAAAAAAATCGTGTAACCGATAAACATCTAAATCTAGAAGTCTAATAGAACTTTATTACTCTATCAGAGAAGCTTTAGGAACGATTTTAATATCAAGACAACTATGGGCGAGCCCAAAAAACCGCTGCGGGTGATGGTTTTTCGAGGTAAATTGCCAGCCTAAGTGGCTGCGACAAGCTGCGCATTGCATAATCGTCCAAGCGTACCCCGGAAACCAACTGAATTGTTTCGATGATTCCCCGACCAAAGTAAAATTGGTCGCTTCCATTACGGTTACAGTTTCGTAAACATTTCCACCTTCAAAAATAAGTTCGTAAAAATAATTCTTAAAATATTGTAATTGTATTGTGTTAAAACCTACCTGGATTACAATAATTACTTTGAATACCATCCTTGGACATCGCAAAGATATCCCGTTGAAAAGCAATTCCAATCCTACATTTTCCGCAGGATAAGATCCGCGCCATTTTCATTAATTTCAACTCCAATTTTAATCGATCCAAAACCGAGGCGCATTTTAAAATTTGTAAACGCTCGTTATGAGTTAATTGGTAATTTTGAACGAACCAATACGATAAGATGTTTGGGTCTTCTGGCAAATGCTCTAAAATAAATCATTTTTTAAATAATAAAGGTTTAAATTAGGCAATTTTTTAAGTAACCTTTCGAGTAATACTTTTTTAATCCCTCCGTTAACGCATTAACATAAAAACTTAATTCGTTCCAATCGTAAACCCACGATGCAAAAGGAAATTGGCTCAAATGATATCTCCGGAAGCGATAATTTTTCATCAAAGATTTGTAGTCTTTGCTAAAAACCGTTCGGCGCGATTTTAATGTTTGCAACTGCGTCGAATTGATCGGGGAGTGAATGTACGGTTCCGGGAGGACTTTCACGGTTAATTTACGTAACCTTGATCTAAATGGGATTTCGGTTCCTGCTACAATTTGGCACCTTTGTCGTCCTTTCGCTTTTAAATTAATCGAGCCGCGTTTTACGCTCGTTTCAAAGACTTCCATAATTACGCCGTAATCGGAGAGTTTCGTTGATGTTTCACTAAAAAAGAATTCATTTAATTTAATTTTTGTAGGATAAACACGCCTAAGGTCGACAAAAGAAATACATATTCAAAATCATAAACAGCTTTAAAAAGACTGTTCTCTCTAGTTAAATCTAGTCTTTCAGAAAAATGTCAAAACAAAAAAGTGTTCCACAGATATTCAGAAACATCTTTAACAGATACTATTGACGCAATTCATAATGGTGTGGGAATAAGAGAAGCATCTCGAAATTTAAAGATTCTCCCTTTCAATGAAAAAAAAAATGAGGTCACCTACTATTCTCAGTCAAGAAGAGGAATAAAAAAATAAGCTTTATGGCTGAAGTATTTATCCATGACAAGATTCCCCTTGAAGAAGGAAGAATTGTTGAAATCGGTTCAAGACATCATAAACACAGCCAGAAGACGAGCACCGTTCAAAGACGGCAAGCCTGGGGAGAAGTGGTTTAAAACATTTTGTAGACGAAAATATCGTCTTTCAGGAGCCCGCAATACGAAAATGGTTCAGTGAGCTGAACCACTTCCTAAACGAAAGTAATTGCACTAGAACTAACACTATCACTAGAACTAACACTAGACCTAGAAACTTTCGGATTAAGCCGTGCGTTTTTTGAAAAAATCTTTGACGTTTCGGATGCCCTGTTGCAACAACAACAAGTTCGAAGTTCACTTGACTTTCGGTTGCAACATGGCATCCGAAACATCAAATATTTTTTCAAAAAACGCACTGCTTAACCCGAAAGTTTCTAGTTCTAGGTCTAGTGTTAGTTCTAGTTTTAGTTTAATTTTTTACTACCTCCGTTCCAAAATAAGTGTCCGATTTGTATATTTTACTTGTTCCAAAATAAGTATCAACTTTCTAAAAAAGTGTTCTATATTTTAATTTATTAACAGAACTGTATTAAATTATAATTGAACCAAATTTTTTATGAGGTAATATCCATGTTGCAAGTAAAAATGAAATTTGAATAAGAAAATAAAACGAAATATGTGAACTTCGCACTTGTAAAAATTATTTAATTTTAATCGGGACCGGTTTCGAAGTTTACAACTTCATCTTCAGCCGAAAACTATACAAAAATGAGAAATATTATAAGTAATCTATCTTATAAAATACAGAAAATACAAAAATGTATAAAAACAAACAAAATACTCAATTTTGTAGACCTATCCGGATACAATTTAGCCACGAAACAACAGAGTCCAATATATCGATATAACACAAACTCTATTTTACTATGAAAATCGATCGACACAGAGGTGTTATGTTTGTGGTCTAACTTCGAAAGTCTTTAATAACATTGATAAAGTGCTAAACACAAAAGATATAGATGAATCAGTTCGGTTTGTCGTCGTTACATGCTTGGATTCGCTTCTTTCAATGTTTGCTTCACCTTTCATACAAATTAAATATTCAGAAGTGGCAAGCTCGGGGCAAAGGAAACCAAGAAAAAGTTACAAGAAATAAGAAGCGAACCCATGAATTATTTTATAAAGAACTGGGGCTTTTAGTGGACAGGGCAAAGCCAGGACGAAGTGCTAGTAATTAGATTGAGAATAACTTTGTTAACTATATCTAGCGGTTACCATTTAAAAATAGATTTGTTTCAAAAGTACTGTATTGATACTGCTGAAAAATTTGTGAAGTTGTGCTCTTGGTATAACATGCCAACCACTGTATGTACACAAAATTTTAATTCATAGTACTAATATAATGAAACATTTCTTTGTACCTATTGGGCAACTTGGCGAAGAAGCACAAGAATCGAGGAATAAGGACATTAAAAGGTATAGAGAGTTTAATGCAAGAAAATTTTCCAGAATAAAAAAAATATGGACATTGTGTTTCACAACCTACTGATCACAGTACGTTGTGGATCCACTGCATGGAATGCTCTAATAAGCGAACACTACAGGGGACAAGCTCTTTGTCCGGATATCCAAATTGTCTGCTTATGAGAGTGGCTAAACAAAGAGAAGTTCGGGATTCGGTCCAAGGTATTTGTCCGATTATAAGAAATGTCCAGTTGATAGAGCATCCGCGTACTATTTCACTAAGTATATCATAAAATACTTCATCTTTGTTAATTGTACAGATATTTTTTAATTTCCACCGATTTTGGAGTAATCAGACAAAAATACCTTTTTGGCCAAGATTTTTAACTAATTCGCTTCTGTGCGGTGTGTTAACGGAGGAACGGCAGAACATATCGAAACTTTTCTCCAAATATTTTTTTCCGTTTATATAGCCGGAAGTCTTGACGATCAACCTTCAGTAGCACTAGCAATTGCTTTACTAGCAGTTCTTTTCTTTTATCCCGTCCTTGGCAGGCTTATTGCCAGTTGCGCGGAGGAACTAGTTATATACTTATACCACATTTTCAGTCTCTCTATGAAAGTACCTACCTTCCCTATGGAATGGAAACAAGCAATTGTAATGTCAATTTTCAAGTCTAGTAAAAAACACCTGTCACTAATTACACTGTGCTGCAAACTTTAACTTTTTTTTGTGTACAGTAAATCAGTTGATTATTTTTAGTTAACTTCGGGTTACTGATTTCAAAGATGCCTTCCATTTTTTTGTAACACGTCACGTTTTTTTTTATTCAGGTTTCTCGCGGCTGCGAGACTTAGAATTTTATAGAGAAACTATAGAGGCAATAAATTTGATATTTGGCACGTTGATATAAGGTGAAGAGATATACCTTTTAGTGGTAGTGTCATGTTTGTACCACTCCCGGTTACACCGGAAATTGTTACTAACATCACTATTTTTAAGAATACTTTGAAATTTTATTTAGCAGTATTTAAAAAATAAAATAAAATTTTAAAATTTTCTGTTGCCGTATTACACGTATTTTTCGTGTAACCGTAAGTGGTACAAACATGACACTATCACTAAAAGGTAGATCTCTTCACCTTACATCAAGGTGCCAAGTATTAAATTCATTACATCTATAGTTTTCCTATAAAATCCTATGTCCAGCAGCAGTAAGACACCTGAATAAAAAAAACGTGACGTATTATAGAAAAATGTAAGGCATATCTGAAATCAGCAACCCAAAATTAACTAAAAACACTCAACTCATCAGCTGTACAAAAATCTTGCAGCATAGTGTTATCGTCCGATTTATCTTCTCCCTATTGTTTCAAAGGTCTTTGAAAAAATAATGTATAACCACTGCATTCACCCAGAAATCATCATCAATTCAATCATCAATCAGAATTCATCATGGTTTCCTGCGTGAACGATCGGTTGAAACAAACTTGGTTGAATTCGTTAATTATGTTCCGAAGGCCATGAATGAGGATCTCCAAGTTGATACTATTTATACGGACTTTAGTAAGGTCTTCGACAAAATACATCACAAAATTCTTTTGGAAAAACTTAATAAATTAAACGTACAGAATAGCTTACTATTATGGATAGTTTCTCTTATCTCTGGTTGACAATTATGTTTCCCATAGGGCAGTTACCTCAGGGCAGTTATCTTAGACCAATTTTATTCTTAGTTTATATTAGGTTTGTTCGAGCAGCGGCAAAACCAATCTGCAAATTGGGAGACGCATGCGCGGTATGGTAACGGTGTTCGAGCAGTAAATAAATCCAGAATTGTGACTTTTTCGACTACCAGTCGTGTGTTCGATCAGAATTTAGGATTAGTTGGGTACTGGTTGGGTATAGTTTTTACAATTTGCTGACTTTCGAAAAATTGTTGACGGATTGTGTACTGTCATGCGCAGTGGATACTTTGCGAGTTTGTTGGTAATAAACGTAGCACGTCGAGAGGGCGACACAATCGATTTATATTTGTAAACACAATATCCGCTTTATTAATCTGTAATTGTTGTTAACACGTTCTTAAGTACCTAGTATAAATCAGAGTATAAATAATCATGTCCGATATTTCGTCGTCAAGTGAAGATGTGCCTTTAGTAAATTTTGAGTCAAGTGATGATGACCTAGAAGGTGAATTACTTGATACACCAGTGCGAATAAGGCCAAAAAATGAAGAGTACTTCGAAATAACAGTACAACAGTATAGCGACTCAGAATTTATGGAACATTTTCGTTTGAGTAGAGTAGTTGCTGAAGATCTAGCAAATCGATTTAAAGCCAGCCAGTATTATAATTATCAAGCCGGAGGAAATGGAAAATTAACAGAAAAACAACATATATTAATATTTCTGTGGTTTGCTGGTCATCAGACGGCTTCTTTCCGAGATGTAGCTGATAGATTTAATATTAGTATAAGTTCCCTACAAACTGTAATCCAGCGAACAGTGTATTTTATAAGCAACCTATCAGACGAAGTAATACAATGGCCATATACAATGTTTAATACAATGTTTTCATATTTTTACTGTTCGAGCTGTGACAAATATCGTACTAGTTCGCAATTAATGATTACGTGCGCATGCGCATTCATGAATGCACTAATTTGTCACAAACTAATACCTAATTCTCTGCTCGAACAAACCTATTAATGATATTAACGAGTATTTTCGCCACTCCAATTTTTTGCTTTACGCGGATGACTGTAAAATTTTTTCCAGGATTAGTTCCATATCCGACAACTTGATGCTTGAGGAGGATCTTGAAGGCTATTGCTTCAAAACCTATTTGTTTCTGAATTATAAGTACTATCAAATTACATTTAGTAGAAAGAGATATTCTAAAAATTTTAAGAATCGCTTAGAAGCTAATGATGTGAATACTGCTTCGTGAAATTAGAGACCTTGGTGTTGTTCTTGACTCAAAACTCCTTTTCTATAGCCATATAGACGCGGTTGTATCGGATGCTTCTAAACGGTTAAGTTTTATTATTCGTATATCCTGTTTCTTTACCAATATGCGGAGGATTGTTTCCTTGTATACGGCGTACGTCGGTAGCGTTTTGACTTTTGCCTCGAATTGAGGCTTTGCAGAGGAGATTTTTGAGATATTTGGCCCGCAAATTTATTCTCCCTTATTGTAGATATGCCCAGCGCTGCT